TCCGAAGTGGTTGAACTGAACTGCCGAGGAAAAGCAACGAAATTCAGCTCAAAAAGCCTTTAGCCACGCTTGAACCCCGAATTATGAGGTACCACGGCCACGGTGGAGAAGATGGACCAGGCCCACCAGGGTTAACGGGTCAGGGTCCCGAGCCCGAAGCCCTAACCGAAAAGCCGGAAACCCTGAGCCCTCATAGGTTTACGTAAACCTTCAACCCCCAAGAAAAAGGCAAAACAGTGCAAAAAAACAATGGCCCAACTTTTTCAAGGCCGTGATTCTACATACTCTTCGGGGTCCAGGTAGGGTTTAGGGGCCCCGAACCCCGAACCCACCGCGCCATAAGCGCCCGGAAGCCCTAAAACTCAACAGCCGTAAGACCACATAAGGGGCCCGTGGTCGATCTTTTGGAGGTTGTGGGTTCATATCTTTTGTTGTAATTATTGTTGTTATTTGTTGTTAGCACTACTACTACTACTACTACTACTACTACTACTACTACTACTACTACTACTACTACTACTACTACTACTACTACGGCGACGACTACTTCTACGAATATTATTGTCATCATTTTTGGCATTATTCTCACGTAGACCCATACGTTCGGAAGATCTCGGTGTTTTATACTCTTGTTATGTAGCGTTTCCCTGAAAGCCAGCCCGTGAATGGCGTCGGTGCCAGCGGCAGTTGCTCCGACCGTAGCAGTCGGTCCAGGGCTTCGGAAACTTCGGGCTTCGGCGTTTACTTGCCTTTGGTTAGTAGGGAATGGAAGAATGGTAGTCATAGTAGTTATACTTATACCCCATTCCTCCATTCCCTACTAACCAAAGGTCAGTTTAAGGGTGTCGGCTTAAGGGTTTAGGGCTTAGGGTGTGGAGTTTGCGGTTAGCGCTTTGAGTTTAGGGAGGCTTTAGGGTTAGGCTTGTGGGGAATTTGGATTTGGGGTTCGGGGGTTTTGAGCTTTCCGAGATCCTTCCCTCGAATGCATGTCAGCATGGATTCAGCGAAAAAAGGGGCACCTTGGCCTCGAAAGCCGAAATCCTAAACCCTACACTAACCCTAAACCCTATAAACCCTATCTACTAAACCCTCTTCTAATCCCTCTATTACGTAACCCTAAGCCCCAAACGAAAACGCCTGGTGCCCTGCGCGAGGCCCTATCCGACACGCTGGCTCGGCGCACGGAGCTTGATCCCCAGTTCAGGTCGGCTGGGCTGGAGGCTTGACCTCAGAGCCTTAGGTCTTTTTAAATTATCTTGGATCTCCAAACAGGTGTGTTGTGCTTACCTGGCCTTGAAAGGGGAAAAGAATTAATTATGGTTAGTTGTTTCCCGAGACCGCAAATGGCATACTCTAGACCCCAGTTATGTACTTGACGGTGGCACCAAGGCTCAGGCCGTGGGACCTTGCGAACACTGCTCGGTGCGCTGCGAAGCTGACAGTCTAGGCCGGGTTTAGGGTTTGGGGTTTAGGTCTCAGGGCTTTGGGTTTAGGCTGTGGGGTTTCGGGTTCAAGATCTGTCAGGATTCAAGAGGCTCGAGGATCTGGGCCGTAACCGCTAATCTCGACTGAGTTTCAGTGCTTCAGGACTTTAGGGCCAGCATTTGGGTGGTTTCAGCCCATTGTTCTGAAATTCAGGGTCTTTTTGGCTTTGAGGCCTCAGATAGCGAGAGAGAAGGAGACGTCGGAGATGGCGCACTTTTGCCACTGCGTATATCTGGGTGCGGCTGTGCGGCTCCTGCGTCAAAGCCCTTCATGCTAAACCCCCAGCCTGAAACCTATTACTATTCAACATTAATCACCGCAAAAACCATGAACATAGAAGCCTGGATCATTGCGAGAATCATTCCTGAAAGTTCCTTCTTCGGCCGGTTTATACCATAGTATACTCTTCAAAGCCCAACGGATTCAGTACGGCTTGGATGAATATCACTTCGCCGTGGTGTAGGGATGTGTGTGGTTTTCTCCCAAGGTTTGTGGTGAAAATGAGGGGTGTCTTATCAAGAAGGAGTCCTTGTGCTAAGATGTTAGGATGTAGGGTCTGCATTGAGGCCCTCATTAGCTGAAGCTGCCACCGCTTTGGCTTTGAACGAGTTTTGAGGGGATTCTGTAAGTTGGTGCAGGTTCGAATTGCAGTGGTCTGATGGTTAAGGGTTCTGCAGGTTCTACAGGGTTGTAGATCCGAATCCAAGGCGTCGAAGGGCTTGGTTGTGCTTGGGGGCTGTCTCTTGGGCTTCTTATGCATCTGAGCATGAGGCTGGCGTGATCCCACAGTTGCTGGGCTCCGCTTCGGCACAGGCATTTGCAGCACCTCGACAGAAGCGGTACCCTAAAACCTAAACCCTGAACCCTAATCCCTGAGCCCTGAACCGAAAGGTGTTCAACAGTTCTGTATTGTTTTCGGCTGTGGTGGCGTGGGTTTCGGGTTTTTGAGCTCAGTGCTTCGGGGTTTGGAGTACCGTCTTCGGATTCAGGGCTGGGCCTTCGGGACCTCAGGGGCTCTTGGGTCCGAGTTTCAAGATCACATGCCTCCGGAGGCAGTCCGCCATGAGAGAGAGGGGAAGTAGCCTCAGGGCTCTCTCGGCGGTCAGGTTTCGAAGACATCTTCTGAGATTGACTTAACCGAGCAAAGCTAGAGCAACAGCTGTTCACGAAGGGTTTTCTGGCCTAAGCTGCACTGTCAGGGCATTCTGGGGCTGAAGGGTTTCGGACGATCCGGACCTTTGCCGAGGAATTTCGTGCCACCGACCTAGTCCCGGCCTCAACACAGGGTCGTGCAGTTGCCTGGTTTAGAGGTCTTGAGTTCAGGGGTTGAGGGTCAGACAAGGGTGCGTGTCGACTGAAGGACTCCTGGCTTATGGGTTCACCTCCGTGTCGCTTAAGGTGACTTGAGATGCAAGCACACCGCCCTCGTGTTCGATGTGCTTGCGAAGGCTTCAGCAAAAGGTCACGAGAGCCCACTGTTTTTTATGATTAACTTCATTAACGATGGCCCCCTGATGCCTAAAGTCTAAACTTCAAATCTTTGTATGGTGATGCTTGCGCTACTCGATGCAAGGTTACTGGTTTCTCAAGGCGCGGTTTCAGCCCAGGCTCTAACCGTCGCTTTGCGTGTGCTTTGTATGTCCATGGCTTTGGTGTTATGGGTTGGCCTGATGACCGGCACCCTCTTGAGTCTCTTGAGATTGAAGCCGGAAGTTGCGAGAGCAGTGTGGCGTGAGGAAGGCGACCTCGTAAACCCTAGGCCCTAAACCTTAAGCATTTGGGTTAGTTTTGGATGTGTGAGTTCGTGAGGCGCCTGCAAGCAGATCCCCCCTCCCGCCGAATTTCGGGATTTCCGCAGCACTTGCACTTGGAAAAGGGCCAAGCTTGGAATTGGCTCAGCGGCTCCCTGGAAATCTGAGAATGATATGTATGGTGCATATAGAGGCCAGAATATTTCGAGTACTGTCTCGAGTACAGTATGTTATAGTATAACTCAACGCTGTAGGTTTTAACTATGCAGAACGCCTGTAATGGCAACCGTTACACCGAAACTTAAACCTAGGAACCTTGAACCAGCTATTGCAATCGAGGCCAAGACAGCACGGAGTCGTGGAAGGTTCGCGGAGACTGAGTCCAGTTCCTGTGTCGAAGGGCTCACTTATGGGTTGTACAAGGTGTTCCTGAAAGGAGTGCCATGAGGGTGTCAGACTGGATGTTCAGGGTTTTGGTCTCGGCGTCTTGCGTTTCACGATGTACTTATGGCTATTTCGGATCATGTACTTTCTTGACATCGCTCGGCATACATTTTTGTAAATTTAGCCGTATTTGTTCGCTTGACAACCCGATCAGCGTAACCAGCCCCCTGAATTTGGCCAGCGCCCAGAGTTCAACAGTGAGGCCTCTGGGTCTTGCCGGAGATTTGACAGTGGCTGCGTCGTATCATTCCGTTGCACTCGTACGGTGCTGAAGCAGTAGAGCGAGCCTTAGGCCCACATTGAGCTTAGAAAGGCGTCCACACCGGTGCCCTGCTTCCGTTGTGTAAGAGCCCGGTTGTGCAGTGCATTTTCGCTTTCAGGACTTCTATGCGATGTTGTTCCTAATGTTTCTGATTCTAGTCAAGCCATAAGAGAACCCAAAGCAATAATACTGCGAAGCATCTAGGCTTCAGGCCCCGCGGTGCCATCAAGAGCATGCTGAAGGTTGGGATCCAAGATTTGAGACCCCCCGAACCCTGCATAGCTGCGGCACATTGGTGATTTGGCTTTCCATGGTAGCGGGTAGACTTGTGCAAGAAGAGGGGCCCTGCGGAACTTCCTAACTACCGACACAAACCGAAGGTCAAGGAATCGCATTGCAAGGAGATTTTGATGCTCCCCGCTCCCGGCTCCGTCGCAGCGTTTTGGGCTCAATGCTTTGAAGGCAAGCATTGTGCCAGAGCCCTGTGGGGTGCTCAGAGAAGTTGGAACCCTCAGGCTCATCCGTGAAAAGGTGGCCTAGGATGCCTGGGCTCAAAGCCCTTCAGACTCCTAAGAAGGATGTTCGTTGTCGGAAGAATGTGGAAGATGGTGGGACTCTGAGTTGGGTGTTTTCTTGGGGGCCTTTTGATTGATTTTGGGATGGACCCTGCCCGGACATCTTCAGCTTCGAACCCTCAAAACCCCGAAGCTCGGCCCTGCACCCTGAAACCCTCATCCGTTCTCCACACAAAGCCTTGTTAAACCCTCACATCCCAAGCGGGCCGGACCCTTGACTGGGCACTCACAAAGTTGGGTTGGTGGTTTGAGGCAGTCGATGCAATGCTTGCATGGTGTGTCCGGGAGCGAGTCAGATGCCGAAGCCCCAACCTGCAGGGTTCCGCTCCTCGAAACTCCTAGGTCCTTAAATTTCAAACCTCCAACACCTAGATCCCCTAAATCCCGAAACTTGTAAGTTCCAAAAACCCTAGCTACTTGCAGCACCTGTGCAGCGCACGCAAAGAAGCTACAAAGGGGGCACAACGATCCCCAGGCGAAGTCATGGCGAGCGCTCCCCAGGCGGACTTTAATATCGTTTCACGAGGACTGTCGAAAAGTTCTTACTAAAATAGTTGAGGAGTATGTCTCTCGATTGTATTGGTGGGTAGTAACCAGGAAAACTCGGGCTTTTGAGGTGTTAGTGTTAGGATCGTCACGCTTTGGAGGCCTTGAGCGTTTAGAGGTTTAGGGTTTTGGTTGTTGGGTTTACGGTTCGGGGGGTGTGTTTAGGTTTAAGCTGTAGCTGTTGAGTGCACCTGTCGAACTTTACAAGGTTCCCTGCCTAGTAGACATCGTCCAGCCGTGCAGAAGGCAACAACAAGCAAAGCTAAGCAAGCCCCGGAACTCTCCAGCAAAAAAAGCGCTCAGCCGGGCGCTAAAGCCTCTGACCTCAAAGCCAGAAACCTTAACTAGACATCGATTTGGGAGAATTTTGGTTTCCCTTCATAGTTTAACATAGAGCCTTAATTTACAAAAGCCTGCGGCTGCTGAAATCGACAGTTAGTGAGCCTTTAAACGGTTCAATCCATGCCAGAACGTTTTCCACTTCAAGCTGGTGCTGCTGGGCGATGCCTCCGTGGGGAAGCGGCGGACTCGAGTTCATGAGGGAACGCAGTCGGCAGCCTCATGCATTTCGCAACGCGTGCGTCTACCCCCATGTCTATGCCCACGTGCAGGGTGCAGCATTTGGGCTAAAGTAGTCTTTCGTGCCCGAAGGCCAAAGCACACTGGGCCACAGCCATGCCATGTAATTACCCTTCACCATAGCCTTTAATCCGACCTATCACGTTCACAGAAGACACGCTATAGCCCCCTCCGGAAGTTGTCTTTGTGTCCTCGGCCGGCACTCTCTTCACTCCACCAAGTGGAGCATGAATGTGGAGTGCTGGCTGCATGGCATCCATGTCTTGAACTTTCGAAAAGACGCAGTCGGCCGTTCCCAGCGGGGAGTCAAAGCATGGACGCCAGGCTCAGACCCACTTCCCAGGGATGGCGTGGCACGCCGGAATGCCCTGGAACATCTCGTGCAGTGCGTCGCCGAAGCTCATCCACCATCTATGCAACAGGACCTTGGTGCGTGGAGCAACGACTTGGAAGGTCTGCGCAGGAACAGCACAGCACAGCAGCTCTTCTTGTGCAAAGACTGCATTGAGTGGAGGGCATCCAAGCCTCATGTGCTGGCTGCGTTGCTGTTGGCCGACGTCCACTGGGCGCCTGTCAAGCCTAGGCACGGTCTTGGACAGAATGATCCCAGCCACATCGTTTTGGTGGCACCACGTTTCACCAAGTCAAGGTACGCGAACTGCAGGAACGGTGTGCAGGTCTGGTTCTTGTGCGTCAAAGGCGCCACAAGTACAGTTCTGCAGCACTTCCTTTTCCAACTGGGTCGACGTGGCGCCTTGCGTTGGGAGCTTCCGGACAGCTTCAAGATCTCGCGAGATTGCCAAGGACAAGGTGGTCAAGGAGCCGTTTTTTCGGGCATTACACTTCTCCCAACAGCGGCTGATGGTATCAATGTCTTGCAGGATGCAAAGGATTTTATGCAACTTCTTCATGTCCACGACTTCGCGGCGGTGGCGGCAAAGGTCTGGACCAAAGCAAGCCACGACGATGTAGTCAAAAAGGAAGCGCAGTTTATGCAGGCGGCAGCAGGCCACCCGAACGTCAGCACTTTGTTGGGGATGTTCGCGGCTTCCGTCCGAGGCTCGGACGAAGCCCGTCCCGAGATCCGCTGGGTTATGGTGACTGGGTTCTTGTTCAAGGAGTTAATGTGATAAGGATACGATAGATCATCATTATGGTACCTTAACTCAAGTCTTTATGTAATTTGATAAGGATGCTATAGATCCCCATGATGGTACCTTAACTCAATAGTCTTCAACAAGAGCCCAGGTGATGGAGCTCTACTCAGGGGGCGATGTGCACGAACATGCAATGTCCTCGAGGATCAACAGGCAAAGCCTGACCGAAATCATCCTGGGTACTACCGCAGCTCTCACTCACCTGCATGCGCTGAAGATCGTGCATCGAGATGTGAAGGCCGAGAATATCGTTGTCCGGGACGACCACTGCGTCCTGATTGACTATGGGATCGCAGCTTATGTTCACGACAGCCGGGCCATGCGGGAATGCGTGGGCTCACCAGGGTACGCTGCGCCAGAGGTGGTGACTGGCTCGGAGTACAACGAGAAAGTCGACATCTTCTCGCTGGGTGTTCTGCTACACTTCCTCATCTTCAAGTCGCTTCCGTTCCGGGGAGCCGGGACCAAGGAGATTCTGGAAGAGACTGCTCGATGTATCCTGCGACTGCCCCCGCTACCTGCAGACGAAGTGTTCCTGAAATACGTCGACACTTAGGTGTACTTAGAAATAATTTTTAATTCTTGGTTATTATAATTCCTAAGAAACAGCTAAAATTAAAATTTTTGCTAGGGTTCTAAGTTCAGTATAGGACATGATGAAGATGCTTCTCGAGAAGAGGCCGAAGGATCGACCATCCGCGGTGGACTGCTTTCACCTCACCAGGGACATCATCGGTCCTTGTTGTGAGGCATGGCCGGCTTTTCAGATTTCTATGGCCGCCATGGTGAAGCAAGGCGCTGTGAAGGATCCTCAAGATCCCAGGATCAACCACTTCATGCATGGCTCCGAAACCGGAGAACCCGTTCAGCCCGCGCGGCGTGCGGATATGAGCAGTGTGACGCGGGTTCTACAAAGCGTTGCCAGGAGAGCACACGACAGCTCCACCCACCTCGTTCTCAGGGTTTCCACGAATGTGGCTCGAGGAATGCGGCATGTTCCAGAGTTCTTCCGAAACGTCGGCAACAGCATCCAGATGAGCCCCGTGCCCAGCGAGAGCTTTCGTGAGCTCCGGTCCAGGATCTTCTCAAACACTTCAAGCCGAAGATCCTCCACGGAACGCTCGGTGGACAGTGTCGTGGCAGGGGCAGCGCAGTCAGGTGTACAGTCAGATGTACCGATCAGCCACAGCCAGTCAGAGGTGGTCCAGCGTTCTCCGGATTCGAGGACAGCAGGGATAGTAAATGTTAAACAGTTTAAACACATAATCCCCTGCCCAACCCTGCTTACCTTTGGTTAGTAGGTCAGGGATCAACTTAGGCAGGGATGCGCGTATGGCCGGGATAGCCGTACCCCTGGGGGCTTTTTCCATGGTGCACCACAACAGGGCATTTCGAAGTTCAGGCCACCCCCATAACACATAGCAATCCCCACATCTACTGTATCCATTCGTCGGGACTTGGCTACTACACCTGCAGCATGAAACATGAACTGTGTAATTCTGTCAAACATGTCTGGACGGTCAACGGGATGGACGGGATAGCGGTACCCCTGGGGCTTTTTATGGTGCACCACAATGGACGAAGTTCAGGCCACCCCCCACAACACATAGCAATCCTCGGGCAGAAACGTTATCCATTGGCCGGGAGTTGGCTACTACACCTGCAGCTTGAAGCATCTACGGTGTAATTGTTCCCAAACATTCGACATGTCTGGGTGGTTTCGAAAACTATGCTGATTGCATGCAGGGAGCAGGGCTTTTCAATTTCAAACACTTAAGAATAATTTCTGATAAAGGAATATATATGGCAGATGTTTTCTGTTGTTGTGAAGGAAACTTGAACTTCTTTATCATTTTTTGAGAAAACAACTCGTCGGCCCAACCCCGAGAACACACCAGCCCTTGAAGCCCTGCTTTCGACTCGCCGGACACCACATTGTGCTCCTGACGGACACCAAGAATATCTCGCCGGAGCAGGTGCCTTCCGCCCCCCCGCTTTGCACACGTTGCTCATGGCTGTGATTTGCTCATGTCGCTTGCACCTGCATTCGTGGTTGAATTGTTGGCACATGGAGCAGGGCATGACGGATTGCTGCGCATTTGGTTCAAAGAGAGCCTTGAGAACTTCTAACTCGTTATCTACTTGTCGATTTTTTTCGCCTTGGCCATCATGTCCGGCCCCTCAACCCCTCGTGCGCCGCTCAAGGAGTACATGCCGAACGTTGGACCCCGGATGGCCACGACGTACGCGAAGGCCGAGCACGCGAAGAACAGGGAGGTGGTGATCATCGCCTACGGTTCGGAGATGAACTACCCCGATGGACGAAGACGCTTGCAAAAGAAATAGACATTCATCACGTTTGCACGAGACATTGCTTTGTGAACACGTGATTCATGTCACAATGACTTTTCAGGTGACTCGCCGTTGAACTCGTACTGCGCTGGACACACGGGGATCGTACAGGAGTATTGTCGCTGGGCTTTTGGCAAGGAGAACTTTACCTTTCAGACGGTGGACGTTCGAAATCTCGGACTGACAAACGCGGAGTACGACCAAAACACTCCGAAGGGTTTCTGAGCAGCAGTTCCTCAGTGTTTGCATGAGCCGTTCATGACAGGAGTGTGTGTAAGTAACAGAAAGGTTGCAAGCAGTTTCTTTAGTTCATGTGCGAGGCAACCCGGCGGTCAACTACGACGTTCTGAAGCACCTCAGTATTGGACAGAACGGCATGTGGCAAGCGCTGGTCTTACTCATTGGACTCATCTGGACGTGGTTCGAACTTCGTGGGCCACAGCAAAAACTCGCGTTGTTCTTGCACTGAGACTGTGCTGCAAATTAGATATCGGCGTATGTCTGACTACAAGCCTTTATTTAAAGTGCTTTGGTGTCTCTACTTTGAAGTTCTTCCCGTTGGTTCTGGTTATTTCAGAAAAAAATCAGGTGCGAAGGGCAAGCACAGGGCGGCTGGGACCGGAGCGCTTCTTTCGATTGCCACCGGTTTCCCTTGTTATTTCCCGACGTTCAACTTCCCCAACGTCTGGGACGCGCGGTTCTACTTCGTTCGACTACCCGCTGTTCTGCCGGAAAAGGACGAAATCAACGACTTCATTCTCTACGCGGCGGACTACGCGAAGTACCCCTTCAAGTCCGAAGCTCGCCGAGAACTCGCCTGGAAGATCTGTCAGGTCAAACACAACCTGGTCGAGCCGGACTCGGACCTCGCCACGTGGGTCTATGAGAACAACCTTCAGGACTCGCAGGACAACGAGGGGTACTACTCGGACACGGAGGAGGAAAAGGTTCTCGCAGACTTCAGAGGCGAGAACAGGACAGTTCGACGGACCAGGAGAAGGCGAAAGGCACCCACGCCGGACAACGCTGATGAAGAGGAGGAGGACAAACCCGTGGAGCAGTCGTCGAGCTCGGACGAGGAGGAACAGGAACCGGCGGACATGAAAAAGTTCGAGAACACGAAGATGTTCCCCGGAGAAGCTGTGGACGATGATGGCTTTGTTCGTGTTAACAGAACACGCAAGGGCAAAAAGCTCGGTCTGGACGACGACGTACCTCCCAAGATGTGCCCGGAGAACTACACCGCGGTGGACATGCTCGAGTTCGCGCTGTACAAGGCACGCCAACGCGGTGGACAAGTCGCGGTGGACAACCTCTGTTTGGAGATGGCCAAGGAGAGAGAGTCTTGGCAGAAGAAATAGCCACTCTGGTAGTTATCTCTGATTGTTGCATTCCACAGCCAGTCCAAGTCGGACGTCTAGATCTATTATTAGCCACTAGTAATCTGATTGCACAGATCAGGAACGCGCTGTACTCCTTTACAAAGCTCCATCGGTGGCCTCCGCGATGGCCCTGTACAAAAACCAGTTCGACGATCATGTGTGGGGGGCAACCAGATTGCAATGACAGTTTTCATTTTCATTGTGTGTTCAGGCAGGCGAGTGTGCACTCCTTGGTTAAATCAGGCCATGGCTTGTCTCGTTGAGCAATCCCCGTGGGGACGTGTCCTGGCCCATGACATCGCCAAACAAATGCGCAGTGCCTCGACGATTAACTTGGTGTTGTGCCTGCGAATGAATGCTGTGTCAGTGCTTCTTGACGGTCTGAGTCTCCGATGAAACTGAGGTAAGTTCATGGACGGCGATATCAGGAACCCGTCGAACTATTTCCTGACGAACATCAACACGAAGGCCAAACACGCGATGCACCCGAGGAGTTCCTTTGAAGCATTAATTAACTTTGGCTAGTCAATACCCAACAGTCCAAGTTACTCCTTGTGCACTGCCTTGTGTGCTCCTGAGTTGTTACTAAAAATGTCCTGGCACTGCTTGGCTTTGTCCCAGGCGACGACGAGGAGTTCCAGGCGTACAAGACGGCCAAATCACGCCGGGTCGAGAGACAGGCCAGGGGGGCAGGCGAGGGACCGAGGGACGGCTGGGAGCCGGTGAAATCGCCGAGCCAACTCAACCAGCACGACCTACCCGGTGGACTTGGTTGGGAACGTGTCATGGACTCGCTGGACGACGACCAGAACCTGGTCATCGAGGGTCGGCTGAGGAGGCAAAGGACGGAGGAGTTGAAACGCGAGGGCATTGACACGCCGGAGCATGGCGCAGGACACCCCTCGGTGGACAGACCTAAGGGTTCTTTCGTGCCGGACAGCCAGTCTTGGTGCCCACCCCAGCGGCCACCCATGCACGTGGAGAACACGGCGGACGCACCCCCCATGGCCCACCACGGCCCTCCACTGCCTCGTGGCCCACCCGCCGGACGTGCCCCGTCGACCACATCCAGCAGTGCAGCAGCTTCGTCTGGGCCGACCATAAGGCCAATTTCAAAGACGACGGGCAAACCCTTGCAACCCGCGACGGCCCCACCCAAGTCCCCGGGTCAGCCGAGTCAGTGGCTGGGACGACAGCAGGACAACGCGACGTGGAGCAGAGCGCTGGACGCACGAAGGCGCGAGGATATCAAACCCGCCGTTTTCCCCGAGTTCCCCACCCAAGCAGAAGGCCAGGCCCACGGCGCTCAAAACCCCTCCCGCCGACCCCCCGCAGGCCCCGGCCAAGGCACCCGCTGTTCCCTCCAAGAAAACCACGAAGGCCGAGCCACCATCGGAGGACGATCGGATGTCTGTGCAGTCCGCAGGTCAAAAGTCGACGACGTCCAAAATGGGGGTGCACTCGCAGTTCTCCGATGCCACGTTGGACACCAGTCTGCCTGGATCCGCGACGGCCACGACAAAGGACAAGGACAAGGCCAAGCTGCTCAGGGCCATGCAGATCGCAAAGGAAGAGATGGAGGCCAAAAAACTCGAGGTCCAGTTCTTGAAGCTGCAATCACAGCTGGAGGACCCGGAGGACGAAGATGAAGATGTCAACGTCGAGGAACACCCGGTGGACGACGACGACGACGTACCTGGCTCAGGACCCGGGCTCGGGAAACAGCAGCTTTTTCTTTCAGTACATATTATTAGTAATATCTTAAATAAGCTAGTATGCAGACTTGGGCTCCGTATCACTTCCTGCTGCAATTTGAATTGAAGAGGCATTCTAGTTCATGTTCAAACTACAGCCCAAGTCTCCTTCATCATTTCAGTTTCTTCAATGACATTGTGCTGTACATGAAGATACCCAGAATACATACATACATATATATTTATATATGTAAGTAAATTAAATACTTAGTTATTATTATTACAATATTGTTTCTACATGTAGTCTTTCCTAATCCATTATCCATACATACAATAGATACGTTGAAAGATTGCTGCTGCATATGCTTCTGGTCTAGCAACATCCTAGTCCACATCATGTGTTCTAGTACCAAGATTATTCATTCATTTCTCTGTTGCAACATTAGTAGTTGAAGATATTCTGTTGTCAGAACAGGAAACAGTGCGTGGGACCTTCCTCGATCACGTGGGTTCATGCACCTTACTGGACAACTGTTGGCGGAAGGCACTTGGGTGGCGGGCGCGTGGTATTTCAATACTAGATAATTGTGCTTGCAGCAACAGGTTATTATTAGCTTCCAATTCAGGTAGTAATACAGGTGAGCATGGTTCTGCGACATTTTTTGTTGATGAGATTACTCAGCTATACACCGAAGTTAGACATCGGCAGTCGTTTGGTGTTGCTGCTTTGTCGGTTTCCTCCTGTTGTTCTTGCTGGGGCCTCGTAGCTGGGGTTTCCTTCTTATTCCTGGCTATTATGATTCGCTGCATGCTATCCTGACATGTTAGAGTTACTTGCTGTGGATTGCAATATTTATGAGAAGATACATAGCCTTTCCTGTCCCATGCATCACCCTGGCTTTGTCGCAGAATTTCCGGCGGACGATGGCACAACGGGCGATGGCGAGCACCCGCAGGAGGAAGAGATCCACCCGAAGGACGAGGACCAGGAGGAGGAGGAGGAGAACGCGGTGGAGGATGCGCCGGTCGACCCCCCGAGGACTGTTCCTGTGTCTGGACCGCACTAACTAACTCAAGGGATTGCATTGCAGTGTGTCACTGGTTCCCTGCTGCGTTTCAGCCCTCCGTGCAAGGCCAGAACTCCGAAGTCCACGCCGGCCGCTGCTATGTACAGACCCGTTGGACGATCGTAGCAAGCTTGATTTGCATGGTACACGTCGGATCTTGATTTGAAAAATAATATTATTGCTTAGGCAAAATACATTCAAAAGCATTACCATAGTTACCAGCTTTGTTTCGAGACCCGTCGTTCCAGCAAATCTTGTACATCGCCGGACAGAAATCTATCGCCGGACACAAATCTTTTTGCACATCGCTGGACAATTCGTGTGCACGAGAACAAAAGAAGTGGCCTGCAGATGCCTTGGTTGGCTTTCCACTGCTGTGTCATACGATTACAGAATTGGTTGCTTTCTGCCGTCAGGTGCCCCCAACGGCCAGGCATCGTTGCAAGCTCGGCCCTCAGCCCACTTCGGAGCTTCTTCCTGGATTTGATGTTCAGTAACTGGAGAACAAATAGCCATATCATTATAGACACGGCGTACCATATAAAGAGGATATGTGCGACTTCTTAGCAAGTCGAGGTGCACTGCTTCTACTCCAGCGTGGTTGGGGGTACCCTTTTGTTGCATTTTTGGGGGCTTCGGTTTGAGGCACGGTTTCCAACGGACACTCGTGATTCCAGCCTGTCTTTTCTAAGAATGCCTGAGCACCTCAACGGCTAGTTTCTCGGTATCGTATCAGATACATGAAGCAATCTACTAAGCGTGAGCACAACAGCGAATCAGTCCATGTCGCTCGGAATAACTTTAAGTCTACATCCTTATAATATTTCTTATATCCCAGAAAACCTCACAACAAACGTTTTCGAGATGCAATACACTTCCTGTTCTTGGGTCCTGGTATGTCTAGTGAAAAGGCCAGAGACATTGGTAATTACATGGGACGGAATTTTGCTGGGCTCTTTGTCTGTCTGTATTCCAGGTATTTATTTCTAGCACCCGCGGTACTGTAATGTGATGAAATGATAGGACATTCTGTGGTTTCTTCCCACACAAGTCTTAAATATTTAGATTCAAAGCCCTGGCACGCGCAGGTCACCCGAGCGGACTTTGCATCCCTGCATTTCAACGAGGACGAGTGCAGGGTGCCCAGCCTTTCGTCTCCCAGTGGCATGCAGGAGAGATGCATATCTGGATGCAAAGCCATTGCTGCATTGTTTTTTCAGATTCCACTAGGGCTTTTCAGAGAATGATTTGTTGGCTGAGCTTGTCCAACCTGCACCCGCAGCTGCAGCTTGAGATCTTCCTGTCTTCTTCCCCTCGTCCTTCTCCTTTCTGCTCTCGCCGGACATGTCATCCGGTTCGGACTCGCGTCGTTCCACTCCGTTCACTCGCCGTTCCGTTCCCAGTTTTCTTCGGCCTTCGGACGACCCGCTGGACGAGACGCAGTTCGATTTTCGCGGGATGGACTATTACCTTGCATCTCGGCAAGGTATGGAGCCGCAGACAACCGTGGAGCTACGCAATCTGGACTATATCGCGCAGCTCCCCCCGTCGGTCCTGGACTTCATCCCGCTGGACGTGTCCGCGCCGTACGAACTCGAAATCTTCTTGTCGGACTTGCTCCTTACGCAGGCCTATTATTTTCGCCTTGGACCTTTCCCTGGAGTGGAGAACTGGGAGACACGATGGATCGAGACATGCTTTGGACCCCCGTCGAGCATCACGAAGGACACATGGCCCAAGACGTACACACCTCAGTTCACAGTTCAGCTGGCAACTTTCGTTGAATTACATGCAGGAAATACTTAAGGTAGGATATTGACTTAGGCTGTGGACATGGTTGTCGGCCATGGAAGGGACCATCTACCAGCGACCCCGTGTACTTGAACGCAGGAGACAGCTTTGCTTTTATTGAAGTACGGTTTAACATAGTGTAGTAAATTAAAACCGAAGCAGGATCAGCGACCCGGAGGGCAGCATCCAGATACTCGTCGATCAAATGCAGGAGGACAAAATGCTTTCGTGCAACTCTCAGTTCTCTTCTGGCCAGTGCAAGAACTGTTGGACTATCATTGCATGGTCTGCTCCGCCGTTCGGCCATTGCGAGCTTAATTAGCTTCCTACAAATGCACACCAAGGCTGGCCTGGAGGCAGGTTACCGAAGCCGCGAACAGGCGGATCGACAACGCTCTACACACAGGACTCCACAGGCATCTGCTTATCCCTGGACGCCCAGTTACCCGGTGGGTCTTGGACTTGCTAAACGCGGACTGGGAAGGGTTTCCCGTCGCTGTACCCGTCCCTTACCATGGTCAACTCTACACGGCCACCGCGTCGCACAACTCGGAGGACCTTTATTTCTGTATGATCGTGAGGGCCGACGGACGATCCACAGCCGAGCATTATCATTTTTTTAGTTTTTCTAGGAGTGGGACTGGGTCTGCTCTAGGCCTTTGCAAGGAAGGGCTGGCATGGTTTTTGAAAATAAAGATGCGCGGGCCCCTGCTGATGCCAGGAAGTGACATCAGCTTGCAGATCAAAGGACTTCTCCTGACCCCGCTGGACTGGGACGACTGAGAATCTTGTGCACTCCTTGGACTCGTTGTGAAAAAGTTTGTTTTCCGACGGACACTATTCCCAAATGTTTTTTCGTAGGACGTGTACAGACACCCGCTGTTCCCACACATGGTTCCTGCGGAGAAAAAGGCAGATGGCATCTCCCGGCAGAGCTGTCATGTGCACTGCAATTGCATCATAGGTTGACGACAACAATGCAAAGCCACACATGCTCAGGTCGTGTCCATGCAGCTTCTTTGCTTCTGCAGCGCGCTCAGGGTGCCGCTTAGCAAGCTTCAGCTCGTCGGACAACAGCAGCCTCGCTGGTTCGGAAAGATACACTCTGTGTTCAGCTGCCTTTGCTCAGTTCCAGTGTAGTAACCGAAATCGATACAATGCCACTCAGGCCTTCCGATTCTGGACTTCTCGGAGAGCACAACGCCGGACACTTGAGCGTAGTACTGCCAAGGGTTTTTGGTGTTGGGAATTTGGAAGTCTGAGGGATGGGTTCGAGGGCTACTCGCAGTTCAACTCGAAGACTCACAGTGAATTGCATGAACAACTATATGTCGATATGTTTCGGATTCAGATAATTCGTCGGCAATAAGTAATTGCACTCTAGCGGATTATATTCATAAAAGCACGAGTTGTTGTATTGCATGGGATTAGTTTTTGGCTCTTGGTGTTTCAAGGTGTGGTGTGCTTGCATGCACTCTAGCGTGGCTATGCGTGTGAGGAATAAATGCGCTAGTAGTGGTAGTAGTAGTAGTAGTAGTACTAGTAGTAGTAGTAGTCGTAATAATTGTAGTAGTAGTACTAGTAGTAGTACTAGTAGTACTAGTAGTTGTAGGAGTTACTGGGGTAGTAGTAGTCGTCGTAGTAGTAGTAGTAGGACTAGTTAGTACTGTAGTAGTATTAGTAGTAGTAGTAGTAGTAGTAGTAGTAGTAGTACTACTACTACTACTACTAGTATTAGTAAGTAGTAGTACTACTACTACAAGTAGTAGTCGTTGAAGTAGTAGTGCTTGTACTAGTCGTAGTAGTAGTACTACTACTACTACTACTACTACGACTAGTACAACCACTCTACTTAGTCGTAGTAGCAGTAGTAGTAGTTGTAGTAGTAGTAGTAGTATATACTAGTACTTGTGTAGTACTACTACTAGTTGTACTTCCACTACGACTAAGTACTGCTACTGCTTCTGCTGCTGCTGCTCAGTCCCACAAGTACACCAGTAGTAGTAGTAGTAGTAGTAGTAGTAGTACTACTACTACTAATGCTACGATCACTACCAGCACCACTTCCTTTCACACTGCTACTACTACCACTACTACTCATACTGCTTACTTACTAGTACGACTACTACGACTAGTACTGCTACTACCACTAGCACTACTACTACTAGTAGTGCTACTACTACTAACTACTACTAACTACTACTAACTACTACTAACTACTACTAGTACTACTATTACTACTACTACTACTACTACTACTACTACTACTACTAATACTAATACTAATACTAATACTACTAATACTACTACTATTACTACTACTACTACTACTACTACTACCACTACTACTACTACTACTACTACTACTTCTACTACTACTGCGAGTCGCAGTAGTAGAACTAGTACCACTACGAAACTAGTAGTGGTACTACTACTACTACTACTACTAGTACTACTACTACTACTACTACACTACTACTACTACTACTACTACTACTACTACTAGTACTAGTGGTCGTAGTCATAGTATTATTTTTCTAGTCCAACTACTACTAGTACTACTGCTACTAGTACTACTACTACTACTACTACTACTACTACTACTACTACTACTACTACTAGTACTACTACGTCTACTACTACTGCTACTACGACGAATGCTACGAGTACGACGGCAACAAGAATAAGAACTACTACTACTACTCCTAGTACTACTAGTCCTACTACCACGTAAATTGCTACGACCACTACTATCACTACTACTACTACTACTAATACTACAAGTACTACAAGTTCTAGAGTAGTAGTAGTACTACTACTACTACTTACTGCTACTTGTACTAGAACAACAACAACTAGTACTAGTACTACTAGTACGACTAGTACTACTAGTACTACTACTACTACTACTGCTACTACTACTACTACTACCACTACCAGTACTAGTACTACTAACTAGGATTACTGATATTACTTCTACTACGACGACGACGACTACTACTACTACTACTACTACTACTATTACTACTACTACTACTACTACTATAACTAGTACTACTACTAGTGCGACTACTGCTGCTAATCGTACTACTACTACTACTACTACCACTACTACTGTTACTACTAGTACTACTACTAGTACTGGTACTAGTACTACAACTAGTAACTCGGACGATTACAAGTACTGCTGCTACTACTACTACTACTACTACTACTACTAGTACTACTAGTATTACTACCACTAGTAGTACTAGTACTACTAGCACTACTACTGAAAAACTACGACTACTAGTCATACCAGGAACTAGGACGACTGCTACTAGCAATCTCCGAGGCACGTTTTCGGAAAATTGGCAGATATCACGGCATGAATCTGGATTACCCGATGTGCTGCAGTCAGTGGAACTGCCGTGTGGTTGTTGTACATCTGATGTTTTCTTCAGTGTCGTGGGAAAAGTACTCTCTTATATTCCCAAATCAGACAGGTCTGAACTCGTGGGAAACAAAGGTCGTCACATGCACTTCCTGCGAAAATGTTTACTGACTCGTTGCAATGGGCAGGAATCAAACATTTGTCCCGCCGAGGTTTGCTGCGCCGATTACTCTTCCTCGCCTACAATTAGGCCAGCAGCAGAAGCAGACAGTGGAAGCCGTGATGTGTCGTTTGTTTTTGTCTGCCTTCTTCCCGAGTGCAGAAGTACAACTGCCAGCATCCGTTCTACGACATGGCGTGCTACATGTTTCTCCGCAGCCTGTCTTCATCTTGATTCTTCGAGCACTCTCGCCCGCTTCGGCCCACCCGTCGTACTTTTCTCGACGGTCCTTGGCATGCCTCGTCAAACCGGTCCACGTAAGCCCACGGCCAAGCAGCTGCTGAAGCAGAAGCAGAAGGACGAGAAAACGCGGAAAAAGAACGAGCAGACGTTCGCCAACGCCGTGCAAAACTCGAAGAGCACCATTCTCGATGTGGACATGCGGTACGTCATGGACACCTTGCGGGACAACCCTTCGTGGATCAGCCCACTCGCCGGTCTCATTCGTTCAGGCTCACTCAACGGACTCCTGAAAGAGGTGGCCGCGAAGGACGAAGTCGGCGGGCTGAAGTGGAAGGCCCAAGGCAAGTGTAGCAAGTGGGGACAGCTTCCGCTGGAGATGTGTCTCCTGATGCTCAGGACATCAGGGGTGGAGCTCTCCGAGCGGGCCTCGAAGGAGCAGGACGTTGTTCGGACTTTATTCGCCGGACACTTCTGGGTCGCTGAGTCTGCACCCTTGCCAACTCGTTCGGACCTCCGCTATCAGAGCACGCTGGTCAAGCTGGCGAAAGCTCGGCTGGAACACGCCGTGCATCGCAACTGGGCTGGTGCCCTCAACGCGGAGGCCCCGCTGGACCACACCACGAACCGGCTGAAAATGTGGTCGCTCAATGGAAACACGCTGGTTTGTCATGTTTTTTCGGTGGACGAGGACGAGAATCTCTCGAAGGACTGGAAACCCGGCCAAGAACTTGAACATGAACTTCCGAAATTACCCGACGGCCAGGACTGGAAGCTGAGTGATGCACATTCACCCGATTGTACCGTGTGCGATGGACAAGTTCACTCCATGTTCGATTTCGACTGCGCCAGCTTCTTCCCGATGTTGCCGGACTTCAAGGAGAAATGGAACTATGATCTTCCAGCGGACACAGACACAATGGCCATGGACGGCGGTCTCGGCGGGTCATCGGTTGCAGCGACGGGTGCATGATTCCTCGTTGTACATATCATGGTCGTCCTGACGTATGGGTTTTTTTCGTCGTTGTGGCCTTAGGTACACTCGACGAGCATGTGTAGTTTCCCATAATTTCGCCGTACAGAGCGAACTCCATGGGCATGCTCAGAGTGCATTGGACAACACGACGTGCTATTTAATCTAGTTTCTGGGGCCGTGAAGCCGGCAGCATTATCATTGCGGGAACCGTGAAAAGGTCGCCGTGGTTGCTGCTCCGTTTGAAGACAGGTGTCGATGCCTTGTTTCATGTGTGCGACCATTCTTGTTCGGAAGCAGGACCACGCTGAGTTGTGCTTTAAATGTAGAAGAGAATCGGAGTTGCAGCCCTTGTTGTCCATTGCATGTTTGTTCCAGTGGCAATGACTGGCAATGTGGCTGATCAGTTGCCACTTGAGCGGTGAAAGTAGAAAGAACTTGCACAGACTGCACTCAATTATTGTTTGTATCATGTATTAGTCAGAGCCGAAACGACATCACATCATTTGATATTTCAATTGCAACAAGAGTTCTGAGCTTGCCCGCGTTAGACCCGCTGAGAAAGCATGGACACAAAGGACACTGGCCCTTCCCGCGGTTCTGCTTCTGCTGCTGATGAAACAAACGGATTTCGGAGTGGTGATCGTCGGACTTTAGCATTTTCGGTTCCTTGTGGGTCAGAAGGACTTTTGAAGGGCGAGTGTTACCTCTACGATGAGCCAAAGACGAAGTTCACCAAGGGACGCTACTTTTGGCACATGCGTTGGATTGTGGAGTTCCTCGGCGGTCACCACTCTCGAAATTTTCTCTCCGGGAGTCTTTCCACGTTCAAGAACAAGCTGTTCGAGATTGTTTGGCCACGTTGGACAGGCTCGGAAGAGGAACTGATGCAGGAGAGCTCGTTACACTTCGGTACCAGTTCATTTTCTGATATTCAGCTCCGCTCCTGCAGGAAACGAAAGACGACCTCGCAGGACCCTGGCACGGAGGAGACAAACATGGACCTGGACACAGACACGGACAAACAGCTTCCCGGCGATGAAGAAGTCGAGAAGCAATCTGGGAGCACACGTGTTTCGGAGTTTTCCACGTCGACATTCGCGACCGTTCTCCTTCTTTTCCACTGGCAACAGGGCATGCGTAAGGATGCCAAATGGAGAAAGCACAAAGACACTGTGGTCAAACTCGCCGGAGATGTGTTGCAAGCCTTCGCCTCGTTGTTCCTGGTGGACCACACGTCGGTGTTTACGTGGGAGGAGCAAACAACTACACTTGTGTTCCAACACGGTAGTCTGGATGTGAAGCAGCTGCACAAGCAATGTCCAGTTCTACAGAGTACGATATCAACATCACGACCTAGATTCCTTCAGGTCCTAGAAGATGTTGCGTTGGACTGCTCCAAAAGGACAATCTCGCAAAAACGACGGGCAGCTGCCCTCAGGCTGCGGTGCTTCTTGTTGGAGACATTGACAGCAGCCGTGGAAACGTCGGAGAGTACACACTCGTGTTGGACGTCGTTGAATGTGAAGCAGCTTCTGCAACTGAGGAGATTGTGTCTTTGCATTCATATTTTGTTTTGTTCTGTTCTGGGGGTGGGTTCCTGCAATAGCCTAACATTACTTGATTATTGTAAATATACGAGTTTTTCGTTTGTCAGGAGTGCCGCTGGGTATCGTCGTTCTTCACATGTCTTTAAAGAATCGATGACTGCTACCTCCAGTGCCACACAGCGGACATTGGTTTCCACTTTGGAAGGGCACACGTTCACCGTGGAGGACACACCCACGCAGGACGCCAAGAACGCGAAGAAAAAGACTTCCATGGACGCACACCGGCTCACACGCATGGAGAGGTACGCATACCTGCAGGACGGCAAGCAGCAGTTCTTTTCGACGGACATACTGTGTGTCGTTGCAGATGCACTACACGTGGGCAGCGAGGATTGGCTTAACATCATGGTGTACAATCACACGAAGGGCAAGGTCTGGATTTGCCCGCCGCAGGCGGGTTTTTTTGTGTAGGAAGAACGAGCTAAGTTTGTGAGGTTCAGCACCCTGGGAAGTACGCCTAGCCTGACGCTTTCGGGGGCCAAAAACAGGCCGCGCCAAGCACATTTTCAGAACAAAAAGAGGTACGCCTATCCCCGCCATACGCCTATCCCCGCCTCGGTCGGGTTTGCTGGTGGTCCTTCCTCATTAACTTTATATAAACCCTGGGGTACGCGCATCCCTGCCTGTCTCCGGTTTTTGGGAAGTGACCTGGAAAAGCTCTTGGCCGCCTTCTACTGTTAATCAAGCCAGGCAAGGTACGCCCAGCCTTGCCTAAGTTGACCCGGCAGCCCTCGGGACCCGTTTGGGACAGTTTTGGCTGGTTTTGGCCCTTGTCCCGGCCCAGGGGGTACGCCTATCCCCGCCTTGTTTTTGGCACGCCCACGAACCATAGTTACAAGGGAACAACAATCATTCCCAAGCAATCATCATAAACTTGGCATTAGAAGCACGGTTTTATATGTGCATAACTTACACATGTCTTAGACTTTGACAGGTGCAGGACCACTCGTCGTGCTTAACGGCCGAAGAATGGACCAATATGTGGAGCAGAGCATCGCAGAAGTTTCTGGACGGTGACAAAACTCGTGGTTCTGCTCATGAGGACACAGAAGAACGGGTGTCAACGCTGCAGTGGATGCAGGACATCAACCATGGACTGAAACCCTTGGGATGGTCATTCGGACGATGTCAACTCAGAGCACATGGACAGCCGTTTCGTGGCTCTGAGGACAGTACACGCGGTTCCCGGGCGCCCATCATCATTTTGTGTACAGACCAGGAGTCCACGCAACTCGCCGCAGTCGCTTTCTTGAGGAACAAGAAGAACCTGTGGGTGGAACACGTGTCGGACCCAGCACATCGGTCTCACAACGACGTGGCCTTGGCCATGTCTGGAGCAGGACTTCTCAAATTTGCACAGTGGTGCATCTCGTTGTACAACATCAGATACGGACCGTGGCAGAAGGGCACATGGTCCAAGAAGATCCAGCAGACGGCCCAACACATGAAGGACAGCATGGACCCGTCGGACCCAGTTTTGCTCATGTTCTTCGAAGACATATTGCTGGACGCTGGTCTCCCACTGGACAATAACACGGAGGAGACGCGTAGGGCATGGCTGCAGACCTTGCCCGAATTGGACTGCATCCGCACAAAGGGCACCAAGGCCAGCAAGAGTCGTTTCAATTCATTAACAACAGCTCATGCTGCGTTGGACAAAGAATGGTCCGTCCTGGCACTTGTTTTAACGGTGTGTTGTTTGGAACACAAGTGGACAGTTTCCGCAAAGGACCTTTTCACGCAGGACAGCAACCAGGCTCGTGCCTCCTTAACACACGGTGGAAGCAAGTCCTCTGCTGTGAAGGAGGCAAAGGACTCCATGAACGAAGCACGGCAGGGCAATGCGAACAGTCTCCACACGATGACGAAGTTCATCATCCTGCCGGACAACAAGACGACCGCCAGATTGGTTTTCCTCGTGCTACAACCCGAGCAGCTTCGCTGTTCCAGGATGCTGGAGGAGCTTCGTTCCAGTGCATCCACGTTGGCGTATTATTCGGAGTGGTCACATTGGAGCTGGATGACCACTGCAAAGGAGCACCTGCAGACCTGGTCGAACTTGGACAAGCTAGCACGCCTTGGACTGGACCTTGCACTTTCACGTGCACGCCCGCCGGACGAAGAGGAGTTGGTCTGGCAGGACACTCTAGCCCTGCAAATGACGAGGCTGACACATCAGATCTTGCGTTTGCGTGCCGGCGCACAGCTCTACCACACATGCGGTTTCGGTGCTACTGCAGGACTTGTCCACAGTGACCCAGGGTTTCGTCGTTCCAGTTTGGACTACTTCAAAGAGATGGACGAGTGCATCAAAGACACACAGAGGAGTGGTTCCCTCAGGGCCAAGCAACTACTCGCAGGTCACTTTTCCCATGGACAAATCAGTCAGTACCTTCTCGCAGAACTGCAGAGCACTCGGTTTGACAACCTTACAGAGGAAATCGATCACGTTCTCCGAAGTATTTGGTCTGGGCTCTTGAACACGAAGATCATCGAGGACTGCAACAAAGTTCAACGCGAAGCTGAACAACGACATGGCACAGCAAAGGACTTAGGACACTTGGATGGTTGGAAATCTGTGAGCACGTCGGGCTTGGTCAAGATGTACAAACGCGAGGAGGCAATCACCAACCAGCTGCACCACATGCCGGCCGACTTTAACTTGACGAGCCTCTTCAGCAAGACGACGGCCAACAATCTCGCAAAGCGTGCACGTCGTTCCACGAAATCTGCGAGTGCAGAGATGACCCCGGCGGAGATCCAGGAGGCACAGCTCCTGGCAGACGTCACGAAGCGCAGGGACTGGGCGTCGCACAACCACTCGGAGGAGCAGGAGGTTCTCGCAGCATATTCCTTGTTGAGGAAGGCATGGCGAGCCAAAACTTGGCAGTTGTGCGAAGAAGGCTGGTGCTCTGGACTCCTACCCGAAGGACACGCTGTACTCGCCGGTGAATCCCCTTTGTTCTTCGTTCGGAGCTATCGTGTGGCCTGTTTGGCATGGCCTGGCAAGATTGTGCACGACGCCGGGTCTGATTTCTTCGAGTTCGACATGACCGTTTCTTCTTTGTATTGGATGCACAGCACATCGTGGACACGGTTGTTTTGAAACTGCAAGCTGCTTCACCTTTACGTGTCCTGGCCATGATTTGCGAAAGTATGCTAGTGACACAGGGATTTACTAGTTTTCGTGATCCCATATGAATCTTTCATCCTGGATTGATATTAATTAATCACGGTGTTCGGATAACCAATAATAATCCTACCTAAGTACTATTAGCACGAAAATGACGACTACTCCTTGAAATGCTACCAGTGCAACTGTGAATAATAAGAGAACTCGTAATAGTACAAGTACTAGTAACAGCTACTAGAGAACTAGTCTATTCCTAGTAGTTGTAGTAGCATGCAGAGCACCAGTAGTACTACTACTAGTCAAGTAAGCAGCAGTAGTACTAGAAGTACTAGTACTAGTAGTACTAGTAGTAGAAGTAGTAGAAGTAGTAGTAGTAGTAGTAGTAGCACTAGTAGCACTAGCCTAACACTACCACTAGCCGCACTAGCACTGGTAGTAGTCGCAGTAGTACTAGTAATACCACTGCTCGTAGTACTAGCACTGGCCTAGCTTAGCCTATGCAATAGCACTGCTACTAGTAGTACTCCTACTAGTACTAGTAGTAGCCTACCACTAGCAATAGCCTTGTACTAGTAGTTCTAGTAATAGTAGGAGTAGTAGGACTGGTATTAGTACCAGTACTACAACTACTACTGGTACTCCAGTAGTAGTAGTACTAGTAGTAGTAGTAGTAGTAGTAGTAGTAGTAGTAGTAGTAGTAGTAGTATCAGTAGTAGTAGTAGTAGTAGTTGTAGCAGTAGTAGTAGTACTAGTACTACTACTACCAGTAATAGTAGAAGTAGTAGTAGTAGTAGTACTACTACTACTACTACTACTATTACTACTACTAGTATTTGTACTAGTACAAGTAGTAGCACTAGTAGTACTAGTAGTAGTAGTAGTAGTAGTAGTACTAGTAGTAATAGTAGTAGTAGTAGTAGTACTAGTAGTGGTAGTGGTAGTAGTACTAGTAGTAGTCGTAGTAGTAGTAGTAGCATTAGTATCACTACTTGTAGTAGTAGTATAAGTAGTACTACTACGACTCCTATTACTACCAATGGTACCACTACTTACAGTAGGACAAGTGTGCATGTACTATTAAACACTATTACCACTACTACTACTACGACGAAAATGAGTATTAATATTATTACTTTAAGGACTACTTTCGACTGCTACTCCGTACTGCATGTACTACCACTCCTGTTACTCCTACTAGTACCACTTCAAAGCAGTTCGTCAGCAACTAGAAATGGCCAGTGGGATTCTAGGTCCAGTACTCCTGCAGATGTAGATAAAGCAAGCATACTCGCACAAAAGGTCGTTCTACGCAGGGCAGCTCGATGAACAATGGCGTTG